TAAGAACGTTGAGAGCTAAACGATCAATGAATGCGCGAATCTGCAACAAATTTTTGTAAACGTATTAGTATTGAATCAAAGAGAGAGTAGTAGTAGTTGTAGTAGAAATAATAATAATATAATTGTTATATCAGTATCTTTTTTTATTATTTCTTGCCTTCAGTTCTATAGTAAGTCTGATGATTTGTGTGCAAAAAAAAAAAAATTTATAAAATAAATGAAATGATACTTGAAGCTGTTTTTATTTGCTTGCGAGATAACTTATTTACTCTACATTTATATGGGTGTATGGCAGGGATGGAAAATTTTGGTTTATTGTACTTTTTTCTGGACCTTTGTCATCGAAAAATACTTCAGTATCGCAACGATATGTTACGTACATCTGCTAAGTAGTTATCAGACTAGTTAATATATTAGAAAACAGACTAGGCAACAGACTTGTCCAGACTAGTTTTAGTTCAGTTCTAGTTCAGTTCTAGTTTAGTTCTAGTTCAGTTCTAGTTCAGTTCTAGTTCAGTTCTAGTTCAGTTCTAGTTCAGTTCTAGTTCAGTTCTAGTTCAGTTCTAGTTCAGTTCTAGTTCAGTTCTAGTTCAGTTCTAGTTCAGTTCTAGTTCAGTTCTAGTTCAGTTCTAGTTCAGTTCTAGTTCAGTTCTAGTTCAGTTCTAGTTCAGTTCTAGTTCAGTTCTAGTTCAGTTCTAGTTCAGTTCTAGTTCAGTTCTAGTTCAGTTCTAGTTCAGTTCTAGTTCAGTTCTAGTTCAGTTCTAGTTCAGTTCTAGTTCAGTTCTAGTTCAGTTCTAGTTCAGTTCTAGTTCAGTTCTAGTTCAGTTCTAGTTCAGTTCTAGTTCAGTTCTAGTTCAGTTCTAGTTCAGTTCTAGTTCAGTTCTAGTTCAGTTCTAGTTCAGTTCTAGTTCAGTTCTAGTTCAGTTCTAGTTCAGTTCTAGTTCAGTTCTAGTTCAGTTCTAGTTCAGTTCTAGTTCAGTTCTAGTTCAGTTCTAGTTCAGTTCTAGTTCAGTTCTAGTTCAGTTCTAGTTCAGTTCTAGTTCAGTTCTAGTTCAGTTCTAGTTCAGTTCTAGTTCAGTTCTAGTTCAGTTCTAGTTCAGTTCTAGTTCAGTTCTAGTTCAGTTCTAGTTCAGTTCTAGTTCAGTTCTAGTTCAGTTCTAGTTCAGTTCTAGTTCAGTTCTAGTTCAGTTCTAGTTCAGTTCTAGTTCAGTTCTAGTTCAGTTCTAGTTCAGTTCTAGTTCAGTTCTAGTTCAGTTCTAGTTCAGTTCTAGTTCAGTTCTAGTTCAGTTCTAGTTCAGTTCTAGTTCAGTTTTAGTTCAGTTCTAGTTCAGTTCTAGTTCAGTTCTAGTTCAGTTCTAGTTCAGTTCTAGTTCAGTTCTAGTTCAGTTCTAGTTCAGTTCTAGTTCAGTTCTAGTTCAGTTCTAGTTCAGTTCTAGTTCAGTTCTAGTTCAGTTCTAGTTCAGTTCTAGTTCAGTTCTAGTTCAGTTCTAGTTCAGTTCTAGTTCTAGTTCTAGTTCAGTTCTAGTTCAGTTCTAGTTCAGTTCAGTTCATGTTCTAGTTCAGTTCTAGTTCAGTTCTAGTTCAGTTCTAGTTCAGTTCTAGTTCAGTTCTAGTTCAGTTCTAGTTCAGTTCTAGTTCAGTTCTAGTTCAGTTCTAGTTCAGTTCTAGTTCAGTTCTAGTTCAGTTCTAGTTCAGTTCTAGTTCAGTTCTAGTTCAGTTCTAGTTCAGTTCTAGTTCAGTTCTAGTTCAGTTCTAGTTCAGTTCTAGTTCAGTTCTAGTTCAGTTCTAGTTCAGTTCTAGTTCAGTTCTAGTTCAGTTCAGTTCTAGTTCAGTTATAGTTCAGTTCAGGCTATGCAATAGACTAGTCCTCATATTAGTGGAAAGACATTAGACTAGTCCACAAAGTAGTCAATAGACTAGTCAGTAGAGAGGTAAGTCAATAGACAAGTCCATAAGCTAGTCCATAGTTTAGTCAATAGACTAGTCCATGGAGTAGTTAATAGACTATTCAAAAGACTATTCCATATACTAGTCCGCTGACTAGTCAAGAGACTAATCTACAAGTCAATAGACTACCAACTTGAAAGTATATTCCTTTTATAAAAAGCTATTACTTTTATCAAAAATTCCATCTCTGGTTTATGTTATAGTAAAATATCTGTACTATAACAATAATAAATAATAGTAGATCTTAACGATCACATCAACGATTCAAATTTTTTTAATTCGTAAAATAACGAAACAAATCACACACAAAGAAATATTCACAGAAGAGAAGAATTTTTCAATATATTTTGAGAGTGAAATATTTAAATACTCTTGAAAACAGAGTTTAATTGAAAAAGAAACCCCCAACACATGTTTAGATCCAGCAAATTTATAACATGTAAAATTTGCAAATTTATAAACATTTAAAAGTGATTTTTGTTTTTTTTTTTTTTTTCAAAAAAACAAACAATTATAAGGCGTCCAGTAGTTGTTGTAAGTAGTTAGTTACATTTGTATTTAAATTGAAATTGTCTAGGTTTGTTTAGAAATTGAATATCAATTAACTTTTTTTTCTTAATTTAGAACTGATTTCAATTATATTTATTTGTCTATGATCAAAACAATTTTCTCAAATTTAAATAAATTACCTAGCAATTGAATTTGAACAAAGAGTTTTCAAAAAAAAGAAAAGAAAACTAATTATTGATGACGTTAATAACGTGTTTCTGTGTTTTTTTTAACCACTTAAGTGTAAATTCACTCTTTATTTTTGTTTTTTTTTTTTAGTTTTTTTGATAGCACACAAAATTACAGGGCGTTTTTCTATTAAGACGTTGTTACGTTAGCACACGGCGAGTAAGACTGATTTGACTGAAACCCCGCAAACACAAAACAAGTCTCATAAACGTTTCACTTCTGAATATTTTATTATTCAAATACATACAATTAATACCAAAAAAATCTCTACCGCCTCAGAGTGTCAACACGTTAAATTCAATAAAAAAAACAAAACAACTGCAATCGATCGATATTCGTAAATACATACACACACTTACATATATTACTGTATATCTGGTTATGTTCGTTGATTAACTCGTTATAATTATTGAGTATACTGGAGTATTTCTTAATATTCAGAGTTAAATGAGAATGATCGAACAACAACTGTTGACTTGTTTGTATGTAACATTGTTGTTGTGTCGTCTATCTTTGATAACAAATATTTGAAAAAAAAACAAATATCAAAATAAAAACAAGTTAAATCAACCAGTTACTACTGTTCAGATACACACATACATTCATATCTACTTGAATTTATCTTTATTTATGAAAATTTATTGAAAACAAAATCAATTTTTTCCTAAAGAAAACAATGTTTAATTATTATTCACAGATTAAGAGATTTCTTAGAAAGCGTTAAATAAAATAATTACCATAAAATATTCACATAAACAAATTTTTGTTTTTTTGTGTGACCCAGAAGTTATAAATTTTTGTATCTATGTGTGTATGCAGTTATCCTAAACACTTAAAAATTTATACAATTTATAGAACGTTTTTAGATTTTTTTCAATACCTTGAACCTATAAAGTACTCTTATTAATCTTTTTCAAACTTTATGACACAATGTCTCGAAAAACCGATGTATTGGAGAAATCCTGAAGTTACATTCGGATCACTGAGACAGTGCAATCGGTGGCGTAGTTCGCTTGAATCCGTAGGATTCCAGCATTTAAATATGCACAAACGAAATCCATTGGTTTCTTATGTGTTTCTATGGTGTCTTCACTTCCGCCAGCTGTCGATTGTCTACATGTCGCATTCGTCTTTTCTACAATAATTTCTATAGAAGAAATGAAGATGAATGATTGTTCAGCTCCCAAATCTATAAACGACTCTAAACACTGAAAAGGGGCATATCACTTTCTATGAACCTCTTCTTCTTACAGGCTATTACAAAGGGACTAGTACAAAACCAGTCCCACACATTTATTTATTAATTAATCATTATAAAAATATATTTCTAATGAGAACTTACTTTGTTGGACGGCATTCGTTTATAATAATTATAACTTTATTTTGGTTTTTAATTAAAAACTAATTAAGATGTTTGCTAGTGAAAGTAGCAGGTTGCACTTCATTTTTATACCTTAAATAGTATAAAATCATATTAAACACTTTATTTCAACTTTTCATTAATTTTTTCCACACAAAACTAATAACAAAAAAATGCATTAAAAGGCGCCATTTTTATGTTGTTTACTTTGTACTTGTCAAAAGTTTTAATGTGGCTAATGTAACTTTTTACATTTCTATCAATATATGACCGTTAAAATCGCTTATTTGACTAAAAACAACGGCAACACTTTATTCTTTATAAACTTCCGGTAGTTAGGGATGCCATATTTTACGCTTTAAAAACATCACAATTGACGTTTATACTATTTTAGTCTGGCATCATTAACAAACATTCCATTTGTACACAAACCACAGAAATTTATTTTGTCCAAGTTTTTATTGTTTTTTTTTATAAAAGTTATTAGTTTTTTTAATATGGAACTATCACCCAATGGTGAACCGGTTGATAAAAAACCTATTTTAACTGCAGATGGTCTAATACAAACTTCCACACAGTCAGCAAACACTGCAAATAGTTCACCCAACACCACTTTGACAGCTTCCAATCTTGACATCGAAATCTTACCTGTCATTTACGATATTATACGCTGGTATGTACATACAAATATGTTTGGTTAAAAGTTATTGTACCCAAAACAAATATTTGCTTTTTGTTTTGTTAATTTTTTTCGTTTTTCTATTTAGTGCAATTTGAATTGTCAGCTTTTTGTACGTTTGCAATTTGGGAAAAGTTTAATTGCGTTTTTCTTTAATTGTTAAAAGAAATTTGTGAAAAATTATGTAATTGTTGTTAATTTTAATGTGTTTTTAGTGTGGAAAAGGATCCTAAAGATAATACGGCCAAACAGAGGGAATCTCAGGAGTGTAGTCAGAAGGTAAGTTAAGTAAATAGTTAATTTAAACTAGAGTCTTTTGTTATAATGAAAGAAAAAGAACAGATAAGAATACCTACATATGTATTCTTATCTGTTCTAATCAACAGGTCGTAATTTAGATGATAGTAGTCCGTGACCTGCTATTGCACCATTTGATCTAGTTGAAATCTGCTATAACAATGCTATAAACCTTTTGTTTCTCTGTTTTTAATAAGTTTATTTTCCTGTTTTACAGATCTTGGAACTACAAAAACGTTTTGAATCCGCCCGAGCACAGATACGTCTATTGCCCGGCATTGATTACAACAAAGAAGAACAATTGCAAAAATTGGAATTGTTAAAAAATCAATTGAAATTAAAGCAACAACTTATACGCAAATACAAAGATATACAATTTTAAGTTTAAAAATCATAAATCCTAAATACTAACTTTAAGTTATTTCCCTTAAACTATGGTTCTGCGTATATTGATGCGTTATTTGGCGAATAATGAACAGCTAATAAATCGTATGGCCGAAAGTTATCCTATGCGTAGAGCTGCACAAATTGTTGTATCTATAATGTATCGTGCTAAACATGTGGCCGAGGATAAGGGCTTACATGAAATGACACCGGAACGTTTTAAGTGAGTAAGAATGGTTTAAATTTCTTTAAGAATAATTTCAGTGCTTTTTGTTTGTTTTTAGGTCATTTATGAATGTTTTTAAAAGTAATATTAAACAAGAAATCGAGGGAGTTAAGGAGGAGTTAAAGAAAAAGAAATTTTAGTTTATTTTTTGTAGTTTGTAGTGTTATTTGCAAGAGAAATTATGAAATGTAAAGACTTTAGAAATAAATAATAAATCTATTTATTTTAAGTAAAATGTGAAATAGGTTTTTAATTTTTAATGAAATTGAAATCAATTCTAAAATCTCAAAGAGAAGATACTTCACAAATTAAACTTTTATTTGAAAGTTGACAGATGGGACTTTTAGATGATAGAACAAACTTTATAAACTAATGAGCTGTTATAGCGTTCCGAATATGGCCAAACACGCACAGCACTTTGGTCTCTGAATTTCCACATTTTTCAAATTTGTTGTCCTGTTTAATTTTTATTTAAAAAGGCTCATATAACTTTTTTTGGTATGTTTGTTTATTTACTATTGTATTCAATGTGAAACTATTATTCTCATGTGAATGCCCATTTTTGAATAAAACAAAGTGTTTTAAATTGAAATAAAATAAAAAGTAATTCCTTTTAAAAATAAAACACCATAGTTTAATTACTTTTCCGAAAAAATATTTATTTTTTATTAAAATTTTTGTTTAACTTTTTTTCTTCAAAAATTAATTATGGTATTCAAAAAAACAAAAGAATAACAATTAAAAAAATCTCTAAATTTAAGAAAAAAAAAAAAACAAAAAAAAATTTATTTATTTCATTGTTTAAGAAAATCATCAAAAAACTAAAAGAAAATTTCATTTGAGTTTGTTGGCTTAAAATTAATATTTAGTTTGTTTCTTGTATATTAATTAAATGATTAATTACATTCTGTGTAAGTAGCAAAATAGTTTTCTTTTATTTGCAGTTTATTTAAAATTTAGTTTTTTTTTTTCAATTAAATTCACTGTTGTTGTTAAGATACTTTTGTACATAGATTTTTTTATTTTAATAAACAATAAGCAATTAATTTTATAGGTTCCAATAGATTTTGAAAATGTCTCTTATATTATGGAGCTTTGCCTCATATTTTTTTTTGTAATTAAAAATGTAAGTTAAATTTTTTTATTAAAACAAATATTTTTTTTGTTAATTTTACTGGACTTTACCAGAGATATGTTGTGAGTTTGTAGTTTCTGCATTATGAGCCGCAGTTGCTGTTGCCGGGCCTGGTCTTTTGGAATTACGTTTGTTATTCTGCCGCGTATTGTCACGCTTGTCCAGAGCCACCTCTAAAACACCGTCATTCTTATGGGACTTCATTTCATTGTCATTGTTAAGTGATTGTTGTGTTTTATTGCTCGTATTGGCGGCCGCTTGTATATTGGGATTTTGGTTTTGATTTTGTGGTGGTGCAGTGTTGTGTGAACTACCTTGTCCTTGGGTACGTGCTTGCATTTTATTAGGTTTCGGTCGATTTTGGGCGGCCACTGAGTTAGTTATAGGTTTTAGAACATTTCCCACCGCCTTGGTGCGTCCCTCGCGGAAGACCATTCTCTGACCCGGTCGAATGTATTCCGGATGTTTAATGAATCGAAATTTGACATGAGCTTTGTCACCCGTCCTTAGACATTCCTTGGACATATTCACTATAGAGGCAGTTTGTCTTATGCTGCCGCAATGTACCATGGCCTGGTAACGTGACGATATAGTAGTGGGATGATGCAAAACTAAAATTTCACCTTCAAACTCCCAGCAGGCTTGTGGTTTTAACTCTGGACTTACCATTACCATGCCTTTGCGGATTTGAGATCTTTTGATTTTCTTCAAGGCAAAGCTTGCCGTCTGGCCACCCCTTACCTCTTTCACATTCATACGCTTGCGATGTATACTCTTGACGGCAATGGGCATAAAATTACCCAAAGGATCGGGTCCCAGCATTAAAACATCATTAAGTTTTATTAAACCCTGTAGACAAGTGCCCGATACTACGGTACCTACACCCGGCACTGAGTAGGTATCATCAATTTGAAATTCTGCCGGCAAATTATCCTGCCCCGTCATGCGTGTGGTCAAGAGATTTAAAAACATTTTTAGTAAATTTAAATTTTCCCCCGTTACATTAGAGACCTGAAAAATGGGACACAACCTTTCGGACACAAAATTAGTGGCACTCAATACCACCTCATCAGGTGTTTTAACCATCACCGGTACTTTGCGACAGCCCTGAGACTTAAGGATTTTGAAGAGTAATTTAAGATTGTCTTGTAAAACATTTGGTGGACACATATCAATTTTAGTGACAACCACAAATACCGGCACGGACAAAGCCAAGGCCAAGCCCAAATGCTCTTTTGTCATGCCTACTATGCCAGCATTGGCGCCAATCTATTAGATAATATATGTTTAATAGGTATTTTTTTAATTATTTTTTAGTTTGTACATACCATTAGCATGCCAAAGTCGGGAGCATGTCCTGTCATGCCGAATACCGTTGTCTTAAGATAACGTTCATGGCCGGCCAAATCGATGAAGGTTATAACCTTGGCAGATTTTTCACAAATTTTAACCCAATCCAAAGTGCCATGATCGGGTTTATTTACAACATTACCAATACTATCAAAACCTAAAAATATAAAAGCCGAAAGGTTAGTACATGCTTCTTGTTTACTAGCTTATCCTTCATTTCAAGGCTAAGTCATAGTATGTAAGTCATACTGTTTGTTATATGGAGGAAAAAGTAGTTCTAGCATTGTTTTGTCTAGCTTTCCGTATGTTGTATCTTGGTATTTTTAATCTTGTCTGACGTATTATCAAGAATTTTGCAAAATTGTTCCAAAAATATCGGAGTTATGAGTAAAATTGTTTAGGAAAAGCGCATATTTACCTAAAATATCATTTCCCACCGAACTGGTACGTCCACTTTCCATTTCATGTTTATGACGAAATAAACGCTGTCTAGCATGACCACGACCATTATCCAATTCGCCATGTGTTAAAACACCCAAAAGAGTAGATTTGCCAGCATCTACATTACCCACCACAGCAACTCTAAACGAAAGAAGTTTTAAAAACCATTCATTCCATCCAAGTTATTAAAAAAATAAACCAAATTATACCTAATTTCCATAAAATCTGAGGTATCAACACGTTTACGTATCAAATACTGGCCGGTTAAACCTTTTTCCACTTTACGCTGCCTTAACAAAACCATATCGGCATCAATGGTAGTGGCTAAAGACTGTAAAGTGGCAACAGCAGCTTTGTATTCTTCCTCATCTAAACCACTATCTCCACCATCTAATTTGTTGTTCAAAATACCCATTAAATTAGTTTTCAATCTTGAAAATAATTTTAACTTACCTTCTCCCACTCCAATTTCATATATAGTTTCACCACGACTATCTTGTGTTCTCTCCTCCAAACGTTTCTTTAACAATTCAAATTGTTCTTCTGTCGGACTAACCAATACCTTTTTACCTCTTATAGAGGAATAATCAGTACGTGGTACTTCTATATCAGGAAAACAATCCACCATGGATGAAGTTACACCACCTCCTCCTTGGGTGACGACACCACCATTTCCTATAGCCGGTTTCATTTTTTTTTCGTTATTCAACCCCTTTGTCAAGTATTTATTAATAATTTCTGGATTTATTTTCGCCTAAAGAATTTTTGATCTTGTGCAGCGCTATTCAACATTTCCTTTTACACCAGCTCTATGTTTTGTGTAATCAGCTATAACACGTTTTCAAGAGAAATATATATTTAAGTATTTTTTAGTTTAATTTTATATTTATAATAATCTTTATTATGTTCTGCGTGATAGTAAGTCATCGCTTGTTGGTTTGCCAATTGCAACTGAAAAGTATCGCTAATGTTTCAATGTGTTTTTATCAGACCTGGGCGATTTCCATTAATTTTGCATTAACATTAAATTAAAAAAAAATTAATTTAATGTAAAAAATATTGCATTAACATTAAATTTGTAAAATTTAATGCATTAAATTTCCATTAACATTAAATATTTTTGAATTTAATGCATTAATTTTACATTAACATTAAATATTTTTGAAATTAATGCATTAATTTTGCATTAACATTAAATATATCTGAATTTAGTGCATTAATTTTACATTAACATTAAATAAGCAATAAAATTAATGCATTAATATTCCATTAACATTAATATATATAAAATTTGATAAACATAAATAAAAATACAGCACAAAAGACCTCGATCTAACTAAATACAACTAAAATTAAATAGGTTAAAGTCCTTTCTAATAACTCCTATATTCCATTCAAACTTGTGTGTTTTAAATATGATATTTATATAAGATTCCACAGACAAAATAAACTAAAAAAGGAATATCTGGGAAGTGATACTATTCTTCTAATAAGTATTATCGTGTATAGGACTTATTCGAAAGGACTTTAACAAAATAAACTAAAAAAGGAATATCTGGGAAGTGATACTATTCTTCTAATATGTATTATCGAGTATAGGACTTATTAGAAAGGACTTTAACTCATTCAATTTTACTTGAATTTAGTTAGACCGAGGTCTTTAGCGCTGTATTCTTATTTTTATAAATTATTTTATACATTAATGTTAATGGAAAATTAATGCATTAATTTTATTATTTATTATTTAATGTTAATGAAAAATTAATGCATTAAATTCAAAAATATTTAATGTTAATGCAAAATTAATGCATTAATTTCACAAATATTTAATGTTAATGTAAAATTAATGCATTAAATTTAAAAATATTTAATGTTAATGCAAATTTAATGCATTAAATGTACCCATGTTAATGTTAATGCAATAAACTTGCATTAACATTAATTTTTTTTAATGTAGAAAAAATTGTTAATGCATTAACACATTTAATGCATTTATCCCAGGTCTGGTTTTTATACTTTTTTTGGATTATGATGAAATTATTGTTATTTCAATACTTGATGATGCAATGTACAAAGAAAGTCAAGCAATTTGGTTATAAGGAAAATACTTCAAAAAAACCGAAAAGGGTAATAGGTAACTTGATAGATCCTAAAGGTTATTAACCATTAATTTGTAACATTTGTTTTTATTCTTGAATATTATGCAAACTTGTTCATTAAATTTTGATAATAGACAGGAAATATCAAGTTATACATACATATTTTAAAATGCTGAGATACTAATAAGAATGTTATGAAATAGGTATTTTTGTATTTAAAAAAAAAATCCCCCAAAATATTGAAACACATACATTTTGACGTGAATACCTGACCTAACGTAAGCTTGCTATTATGTCAATAATACCAAATGAGTAGTATGCTGTGATAACACCTAATTTTTGGAGTTTGTCGTATTATTGTACATTCTCTTGTAATAAGACTTTGGCGGAATTTTCATCACTTTGCAGACAATCTTGAGGAATTTGAAGTGTAATCTATCTATCTATCTATCTATCTATCTATCTATCTATCTATCTATCTATCTATCTATCTATCTATCTATCTATCTATCTATCTATTTATCTATCTATCTATATATATCTATCTATCTATCTATCTATCTATCTATCTATCTATCTATCTATCTATCTATCTATCTCTATCTATCTATCTATCTATCTATCTATCTATTTATCTATCTATCTATCTATCTATCTATCTATCTATCTATCTATCTATCTATCTATCTATCTATCTATCATTATCTATCTATCTATATATCTATCTATCTATCTATCTATCTATTTATCTATCTATCTATCTATTTATCTATCTATTTATCTGTTTATCTATCTATCTATCTATCTATCTATCTATCTATCTATCTATCTATATATATATATATATATATATATATATCTATCTATTTATCTATCTATCTATATATATATATATATATATATATATATATATATATATCTATCTATTTATCTATCTATCTATATATATATATATATATCTATCTATCTATCTATCTATCTATCTATCTATCTATCTATATATCTATCTATCTATCTATTTATCTATCTATCTATCTATCTATATATATATATATATATATATATAGATATATATATATATATATATATATATATATATATATATATATATATATATATATATATATATATATATATATATATATATCTATCTACCTATCTATCTATCTATCTATCTATATAAAAGTTTACTTGATGTACTGGCTAATTAATAGACAACTTCATGGACTAATCAGTAGACCAGACAATATACTAGAACATGGAATAGTCCGTACAATAGTCTATAGATTAATTGAAAACGATGATGTATGTTACACCAGATCTGCAAAAAATAGACCGGCCAACTAACCAACGCAGGCATGCTGTCCAAATCGCAGAAAATTTTCAATTGAAATATTTGCGAAACTATGGTTAGTTACTATGAGAATTTTGAAAACTCCTTCGCTAGCTAAAGCTGCTAAATCGACTTTCCTATCAATGAAAGTTCAACATACGTACATATGTAAGTACCAAAAAGATAAAGCTTTAAAAAAGTTAAGCAATTTAACACAAATTGCCTAAATTTAAACTTTATTGCCACGTAATATATACTACAATTAACAATCTACTTCTTTTCTTTCAGTGTATTGGATAGGCAAACAAAACAAAGGCAATTTTACAAACAAAACAAATCCCGTACTTTTTTTATGATTTTAATAATAAATCGCGTCAAAAGAATAAGATACAAAATAAAAACGGATAAAACTAAAGAACAAAATCAAAACAAAAATCTTTAATAAAACAAAATTTACACAAAAAAGAAAAAAAAAATACCTAGAGAAAAGCAAAAACAAATAAATAAACAAGAAACGAAGGAAAGTGAAAGGGAGAGGGAAAAACTGTTACTAAACAATGTTTGTGAATAATTAAATCTTGGAGGGGGTTTTATTCGAAAGTAAAAACGTCTCAAACTACAAGAAAAAGAAAATTTTTTTTAAATTTTCAATTTATACATATGTAATATTAAATTACATATTATTAAGGCTAATAAGAAATGAAAGTGAAAGGATTTTTCTTATTACGTTAAATATATACCAACTTCTTTTCTTACCTTTTCCAATCAGTCTCCTTTTTATTTTTCTGCTTTTGGCGTCGTAGGCAAAATTTTTCTATATTTTCTTACTACTTTTATACCAAAATTGTTGAATCTGTAGACTTTTGCACAAAACTTATATATACACAGTAAAATTTAGTATATTTTAAAAGTTATTATTATAAAATTAAATTTGTAGCTATTAATTTTGCTTTATTTGAATGGGATTTTATTTTCGAACACCAAAAACAGAGTATATTAGAAGAAAAATATATATTTTGACGTGTAGCCAGAGATCAGTGTTGTCAACTTTTCTTACAAAAAAACGGTAATTTAATATTGAAAACAAATTGGAAATTGTGTTAATACAGTTTTATTAAAATCGATTTTCAAAAAATCGAATTTTTGTTAAAAAAAAGTCGAATTCGCATATTTGGTTAAAAAATGGTGGTACGTCGACTATTTTGTAGGAAAATGTCATAAATGTACTTCGTAAATAAAACTCGAAAAAAATCGTGATTAATATAATCACAATTATTAGTGCTGCCATATTAATTAAGAAAAACATTACTTATTGTGATTGTTTTTCTTTTGCAGACAAAAACTTGGCATTACTTTATCATACTTCCAGTGTCATTTAATTTTGACAGTCGTGACTGGTGAATTTTTTGTTAGTAAAAATTGTTTGAAAAACATTCTTTTAGAAAGAAGCCGCAATTTTTTGCATTTTACTGCTAATAATTAATAAAACGATTAAAAATCTTTTAAAAAATATAATTAACAATGTCTCGCGGTAGTTCAGCTGGTTTTGATAGACACATTACTATCTTCTCTCCCGAGGGTAGACTTTATCAAGTTGGTAAGGAATTTTGCAAAATCATGTTTGCGAATTTTGTCTTTCTAATTAACAATTTTTTAATTTCTAGAGTATGCTTTCAAGTCCATTAATCAGGAGGGCATTACCTCTGTAGCTATTAAGGGTGCAGATTGTGCTGTGGTAGCTACTCAAAAGAAGGTTACAGAAAAACTAATTGATCCCTCAACTGTTACACACTTGTTTAGAATAACCAAAAATATTGGCTGCTGCATGACCGGCCGCATAGGTAAGAAGTGGGAAAGTTTTGTTTTTTTTTTAGATTTTTTTAATTTTATATTTCAGCCGATAGTCGTTCTCAAGTGCAAAAGGCACGTTATGAAGCCGCCAACTGGCGTTATAAGTATGGCTATGATATGCCCGTGGATGTGTTGTGCCGCCGTATAGCCGATATTAATCAGGTGTACACACAAAATGCTGAAATGCGTCCCTTGGGTTGCAGTAAGTATAAGTTATTTTATTGTTGTTAACCAATATCTATTTAAATGTGTTGCTTTTTAGGCATGGCTTTGATAGCCTATGATGATGAAAATGGTCCCTGTGTTTATAAAACGGATCCAGCTGGCTATTATTGCGGTTTCCGTGCCGTCTCTGTGGGTGTTAAACAGATTGAGGCCAATAGTTATTTGGAAAAGAAATATAAGAGCAATCTAAATGAAGAGAAAACTATCCAACTGGCCATTACCTGTTTGTCTAATGTTTTGGCTGTGGACTTTAAGCCTAATGGCATTGAAATTGGCATTGTTAGCAAGGATAAACCAGAGTTCACAATACTCTCCGAGAAAGAGATTGAAGATCATCTTACTAAGATAGCAGAAAAGGATTAAATTATAGAATTGGACAGCAGCAAAACATTTAAAATGTAACTACTGTTTGGGGAAAATAAAATTTCAAATTATTCTAAGAATTATTTTTTTGTAAACATTCTCAAAAGATTTAAACGGAAAAAACATGGTTCATTTTTTTATAAAATAACTGAAATTTAGTAATTTGTTTAATTTATTTCATTTCCATAATGTATACAATGGAATGAAATTGCAGGGATTACAATTTTTGAAACAAAATACTGGAATCAGTTAAAATATTAAAACAGTTTTGATTTGTTCCAAAGTATTTGTTTATTTTTTTAAAAATTATTTAAATAAATAAAAAACTTAACAAACTAATACTCTAAACCCGAACAGCAGAACTTTAGCAATCACTTTTTGCTATAAACTTTTCCGCCATAGCGGGCGACAAAAGCATTAACATCAAATTTCCTTTTGCAGCCCTGATAATTCATATAACGAATCTTACCAAATATCGCACGTTCTGCCCAACCTTGATCATGAATACCACCAATAGACCACATGCAACCTGAAATTCAGAATTTTTTTTATTTTTTCTCAATATTCTCTAAAAATCCTCCCAAAGAAAACTTACCCACATAACCATTGGGATCTCGGCCATCTAAACTATACTTATCATTAAGTAAAATGGCATATTCCAAAGCCTGCTCTGGAGACTCTGTCCACTCTAAGATTTTCTTAGCCCAATACATGCGCAAAAAGCCATGCATTTTACCTTCATTAACCAGCTGCAGTTGAGCAGAATTCCATAAATCATCATGAGTGCGTGACTTTTCAAATTCTTCCATTGTATAGCAAGGACTACGCTTATCTTTGCGATGATCATTAAGTGTTTTAGCTGCCCAAGCATGTAAACCTTGAAGATTGTCATAGTTTCTGTTGTAATAACAAAAATTATCCGCCAATTCTCGTCTAACAATTGCTTCTTCACAAAATGCTTCCACAGAATCCTTAAATTTAGTTTTATACTCTTTAACCTCCAAGATGCAACGTTGCACTGAAATCTGACCAAAATGAAACCAAGGCGATAAACCCGATAAAGCATTCTGAGTGGGATCATTACGTTTTTCACTAAACTTTTTCAAACGCTGCGCACAAAACTCTAACAATTGCTGGCAGGCTGCCTTATAGCCGGGTTTTATATTTTCCACTTCATCTACGGACATGTCACATTCTAGGGAATCAAATGCGGCCTTCCAGTCCACTTTCTCCAATTGGGTTTTAAATTTTATATTATGTTTAATTAAGGCAGGAAATTCCGTTAAAAATTCCGGTAATTTAGAGTTGATTTTATTGCGTATCGTGCGGGCACCATATTCCTGTTTATCAGAAGCCACCCAAACGGGCACTACATTATGGGCATCCACTTGTATGAAAGGCACGCTGTCGGGTAACTTTTCCTTAACATCATCCACCCATTGTAAGGGAACACGTAAAGGAGCAAAATCACATACCACTGCAGCAACATCATGAGTGGCAACAAATTCCGGCGCACGTTCTTTGGCCGGACCAATTAGCAATTGAAATGTAATATTTAAATCATTACACTCTTCAGCCACCTCTTGTAGGCCTCCTAGCATAAATTTATAATGTCTTATGGTGGCATTAAGAAATTTAGGCACTAAACAGAACACTACCACTAAAGGTAATTGTAATTTTAAAGCCAAACGTTGAGCATATAAAAAAGCCCAGTTATCTTGCACGCGTACATCCCTAGACATCCAATATACCACCGGTCCCTGGCAATCTTCACGTACTTCCTGGGTTTTACTTAAAATACGCACCCGTTTCTTTTTAAAGGAAAAATCCTCAATACTGGCGGCACATCTTAAACGTTTTTCTTGTAATGATAAAATAAAATTGTTTACATCTTCTTTACATTTGGAGGTGGACGTTTTTTGAACAAATTCATTTAAGTTTTTAGATTTCTTAGAAGAATCTGCAGTTTTTGATGATTTGCTACTTGTGGCTGCTGCTCGTTTCATTGTATATAACCTTGATTTTAGAAAAAAATTTAAATTTAATAGAAATGTTTATTGGTTGTTACTTATTTACCCTTTACTAAAGTAATTGTATCTAATGAAAAATAATCTAGTAAAAATTATTTTCATTTATTATTAAATAAAGCGTTAAAGTATAGAAAAAGTGAAAATAAAAACAACTTTCCAGTCTTAGTGCAATTTAAACAGAGTTGCATTTTCATTTGTTTTGTTTGTGTTGTTTGGAAAGATGAAATCATGATAGACTGGAAGTGTGAATTTCCACAAAAAACATTACAGACCAGTTTCAAATAGATAGATAGATAGATAGATAGATAGATAGATAGATAGATAGATAGAAATAGATAGATAGATGATATATAGATAGGTAGAAGATAGATAGATAGAATAGATAGATATATAGATAGATAGATAGATAGATAGATCAGATAGATGATAGAATTATATAGCTAGATACGATCGCTCGATAGCTGATAGATGCTTCATCAGAAGATAGCCTAGTCACAGATAGCTAGATGCGTGCTCGCTCGCTAGCTCGCTAGCTAGCTATCTCGCTCGCTCGCTCGCTCGCTCGCCTCGCTCGCTCGCTCGCTAGCTCGCTCGCTCGCTCGCTCGCTCGCTCGCTCGTCGCTCGCTCGCTCGCTCGCTCGCTCGCTCGCTCGCTCGCTCGCTCGCTCGCTCGCTCGCTCGCTCGCTCGCTCGCTCGCTCGCTCGCTCGCTAGCTCGCTCCGCTCGCTCGCTCGCTCGCTCGCCTCAGCTCGGTCGGTCGCCCGCTCAGCTCGCTCGCTCGCTCGCTCGCTCGCTCGCTCGCTCGCTCGCTCGCTCGCTCGCTCGCTCGCTCGCTCGCTCGCTCGCTCGCTCGCTGCGCTCGCTCGCTCGCTCGCTCGCTCGCTCGCTCGCTCGCCCGCTCGCTCGCTCGCTCGCTCGCTCGCTCGCCTCGCTCGCTCGCTCGCTCGCTCGCTCGCTCGCTCGCCTCGCTCGCTCGCCTCGCTCGCTCCTCGCTCGCTCGCTCGCTCGCTCGCTCGCTCGCTCGCTCGCTCGCTCGCTCGCTCGCTCGCTCGCTCGCTCGCTCGCTCGCTCGCTCGCTCGCTCTCGCTCGCTCGCTCGCTCAGCTCGCTCGCTCGCTCGCTCGCTCGCTCGCTAGCTCGCTCGCTCGCTCGCTCGCTCGCTCGCTCGCTCGCTCGCTCGCTCGCTCGCTCGCTCGCTCGCTCGCTCGCTCGCTCGCTCGCTCGCTCGCTCGCTCGCTCGCTCGCTCGCTCGCTCGCTCGCTCGCTCGCTCGCTCGCTCGCTCGCTCGCTCGCTCGCTCGCTCGCTCGCTCGCTCGCTCGCTCGCTCGCTCGCTCGCTCGCTCGCTCGCTCGCTCGCTCGCTCGCTCGCTCGCTCGCTCGCTCGCTCGCTAGATCGCTCGCTCGCCTCGCTCGCTCCTCGCTCCCTCGCTCGCTCGCTCGCTCGCTCGCTCGCTCGCTCGCTCGCTCGCTAGCTCGCTCGCTCGCTCGCTCGCTCGCTCGCTCGCTCGCTCGCTCGCTCGCTCGCTCGCTCGCTCGCTCGCTCGCTCGCTCGCCTGCTCGCTCGCTCTATCGCTCGCTCGCTC